GTTCTGAAAAAGTGTTCCATTTCAATTGCCTGGTGATATTTATATCAATATTGGAAGCACTAGCAAAGGAATTAAAAAAGCCCTTTAATGCCATTTTCTGTTGACTTATTCTTTTTCTCTCAAGTAAGTGTGTTGTCATGAATTCTATACTACAGTCGAGTCCACATAAATTGTCATAGGTAAAACTAGATACAGTAGAGCGTCGTTTATCCGAAAGCTGGTTATCCGAAACGTCCGTTATCCGAAAGCATTCCAGTCGGCAAATTTAAATTTTCGCTAGTGCTGTGGCGCTGCAATTTACGGCTATTTCTCGGGCTACTCAAATATTTTACATTTTTGATACTGAATTAACATCTGAAGTATAATTTTTTATTATTTTTATATTTTTCAATATATTTATTTTGTTTGTACAAAATAAAAAAATAACTTTTAACGATACAATAGTCTTTGTTAGGCTTAACATCGACGAAAATTCAACGCGAAGCGACATGCAACGGAGAAAAATTTCAACATTGGATACGTTAAACTATTTTTTCGTACATAAATCGGTTATCCGAAATATCAGTTATACGAACAACCCCAGTCCCCAATTGATTCGGAAAATCGATGCTCTACTGTAATTCATTTTCGTCGTTTGTAGTTCTTACATTATTTCTGAATTGTGTGTTAGTGCATTAAAAAATGATATTTCTGTGCATCTTTCGTTTTGTTGCTGGATGCTTCTCAAATTCCACAGACTGGACAATATGGAGTAGAGAGAATTGGCCATCTGCAGAGAAACAAATTACAGATATAGTAACAGAAATTTCGCCTTTTTTAGTACTCTAAATGTAATAAATTAATAAGCTCTTTTTCCTTCTTCACTTATTACATTTAAAATGGAAATTGGACACATCACTAGTAAACTTCTTTTGAAAAACATTGATTTACAATACATTCTAGTGTACGTTCTTGAAAACTTTCAAGAAGAGCCGAAATAAAAATTATAATTTGATATATGAATTAAACGACTATTTTATACTTGATATATTTTTGGAGTTTTCAAATATTTGCTTCAATTATTATTTAGAAACTGAAATTTCTATTGTCTTCTGCATAATGTAGAAAATATTAATCTGTGTGATTCACACAAGAAGTAAACGGGAAAAAGGTTTGAATATTCTAATAAAACAATGGCTAATGTTTTATGGAAAATGGGCTAGGAAATCTGAAAGATTAAATATATTCGAGAAAATTTTATTTTTAATGAAAAATGAATATTTCAATAATATATTTATAAATGTTATTCTTACGTTACGACACGTACAATAAACGAAGCCATGTGATAAATTCCCGTACAGTTGCATACAAATTTAATACTTTCCAAGACAGGAAAATCTCTTGAAGATCTTTCGCTAGCTGAGAAGTTAAAGCTAACAGTAAAATTAAGCAATGAGTTGTCTAACTTTCCCATCAAAAAATGTATTAATCGACATCTGTGGTAATAAATTATTATAAAATGGCAAAATGCTTAATTTTCAGTGTAGTGAAGAGGTTTTCTAATATATTGTAAATGCTAATAACGATTAAAATGTTTATAAAGTCCGTATTTTCTCGAAATACTACACATTATCCTATTATTTCTTCACGATTTTTTATTTATAACCAGCAAATAAATAATGGCATCAATCTTTTTAATACGCAAATTTCACTGCGAAATTTCAGAAATTTTCGACAACACGCACAGAAGTGATTAATCTTCAAGATAAACGAAAAAATAATGCACCCGCAGAGTAATAACACGATTTGATTTTTCTATACTTAAAGATTAAATTATAAACTGTTTTTACTATCGTCCGTATACGTTAAATTACTTTTTGATCATTTTATGTATAAAAATTACATTTTAATTTTTTAAAAACATGGAAAGTTACGAAGCTGGTGATAAATTTAAAAAATTTTTTAATTTATCACCAAATTTACTAAATGTCGACAAATTTTTCATATTAAATGATAGTCGGAAAATCAATTATTAATAAACAATTTTCGTATAAAATATATTAAGATATAGACAAATCAAATACACACTTTATATAAAGGAGGGCAAAAAAACCGGTAAGCGATGCTTTATTATATTGCGAGGGAAACGGATTATTTCTATGGGATAAGGTGATTCAACGCACGAAAGTTGTGCAAAGGGCTATTGGATATGAAATTAGCCTTATTTATAAATGGGAATTATCCCGGAACACTTCACATAACTATTTTGTTGACTGATCGAAAACCGGTCACCAATTACCAGTGATCAGTAATATTTCCGATTGATCTCAGGGGGGCGAGAAAGACGATGAAATCAGCAATCGCGGTTAAAAATATTTTAATGTCTCTCAACCACGGAGCATTAAATTACTTATCTGTAACGTTTAAAAACTTTACTTTCATGGGAAATTTCTTTGTAATGTTGAAGAAATCTTCTACCGAAATCGATAAAGAAACTCTTCCGAATCTCTTCATGAAATTTAAAATCTGCTCAAGAAAATCATTCACGTAAATTGTCTAATCTGAGAAAAGTTTCATTGTCAAAAATAAACTTAACAATTTAAACATAATATGCATTTTATGATAATTACAAGACGTTCTTTAATTATTAAAGCAATCGTTTTAATTGACGTGATTTAATCAATGAAATAAATATACGTTTGAATTTAAAAAATTGTATAAAAAAATGAGAAAATTTATATTCAATAAAATAAGTTCTTGTAATAAAAAAAATCACTTCTCCACATTTAATGATATTGTTTCAAAAGAATAAAGGCAGTAATTATAATTTTTGTTCAAATAAACAAATTATTAGTGGAGACGCAAATACACTAATAAACGTGTATTTTTTTGTGTATTATTGTAAGTATAAATCTGCTGTTTAATATATAGGGAGTTCGTTTTTGTAAAAGGCAAATAATTATTTTTGAAATCGGAAAAAAAGTGGAATCGACAGATTCCCAAATATTTGAACAGATCTGTGCCTATTGTTGGCAATTGTATATTAAAAAGTAATAAAATAGCACAAAAATTAATAAAAACATCAAAGTTATCCAAGATACAAAATGATCAATTAAGGAAATTTGTAGAAATTACTAAACGCGATGTCGAAGATTGAGATCTTCGTCATCACGTTCAGTAATTCCTCTATATAAGACAATTCTCTCACGGATTTTAGTAACTTCTAAATGACTATTGTATAAGAAGAAAACTCGCCAAACAACTCTAACCGTTAGGCATTAATCTATCGGATTGAATTTGCCAAAAAAAATAATATCCTTGACTATACATGCGAACTGTTTAAAGAATAATTTCAATTTAAATTGTGCCAGATGCCTTGCAGTATTAGTTGTCAGGATACAATATTCAAGTTATTGAATCATATATTTAAAGTAATTAATAAGGAAGGTAACTTTATTGTTTATTCAACTATAATCCCTTTATAAATTTCGGGCATATCGTATCTACTGTATTCATTAAGACGCTATTTCTGTTAATTATCATCTACGGTGCCATTTTATGTATTATAGCCAATTTCAAGAAATATCTAAAACAAGTATATTAGTCATTTTTTATTGTCTGAACAATAGTAAATAATATTTAAAACTTTTAAATGAATGGTTTTATAATCATACACGAACTTTACAAATACTTACTTTCAGCTTCTGCTCAAGCTCCAAATTACAGTCTGCGAATTTTCGAATGTCTTGAAAGCCATTCTGCATCTGAAACGAGAAATTTACATTTATTACAAGACCCACAATTATATAATTAATTGTGTTGCAACGAATAGTATATTCGGCCTCAGGCCGAATACCGAATATTCGGCCAGGAGCGTGGCAGAATAGCCGAATATTCGGCCAAACTATTCGGCTCGATTAACGCACGTACGAAAATTGGCGCGCAAACCGCATTATGGCAAGGACCCTGCTCTCTATTGGCCCACTGTCACTACGCTTCGACGTCGGCCATCTTGTATGGTCAAGCATCACCGTGAGAACTACGGTGCTCCGCTTTGGATTTAGATTTTAACTGTTCTACGTTACATTGGTAAGTGATTTCTACAGCGTGTACTCCTTAAGCCGTGCGCTGTCGAACGCCGTTTGTTTTTTTTTTTCAAATCAGCCATTTTTTCGAGTTTTACGGCTGTTTTTTTGGCCGAGGCCACGTGGCCGTTTTCGGACAACTTTTTCTCGCTAACGGCGAGTCGTAGGTTCTTCGCGAAGTTACCGTCGTACTCGTCATTTTTTCCCGTTTCGCTTGACATATAGTACATGGGATTTTACCGATTAATTTCTCTTTTGCCACGTCCATTTATAGCCATTTTTCATCCGGTCTTCTGACTTCTCTCTAGGCCATCGTCGCTTTTAACTTGGGTAATCGGGAGAAGGTTTATCTTTACGAGCTCGGTAAAAAATTTCATTCATACGGATCATTATTTCTCGAGTTATAGCGTATATTAGGAACAAAGAGTGATAGGTCATTGACCTCGCCACGTGGCCGTCGGTCTCCCCTAACCGACCCTAATTCGGCGGCTGATTTTCGTTGGCTAGCTGGGGGCTCTCTTTTTGGCGGCACTTCGGTGGATCCTGCGAAAACGACGATTGCTCTGGGCCTGCAAGCTTTCAGGACTTTTCTATAGGCTTTTTCAGCTACTAATTACTCTGTGTTCAACAATTTCTCGATCATGTCTACGGACTTTGACCCTACTGCTGCCAATCTCCGCATGGCCGCATCTGAGGTTCTTGACGAACTGAAGGGATATTTAGCGGACAACAAACAAGAAAAAATCAACAAAAGGCACTCAGACTATATTATCCGCAGTGCACAATGCATTATTGATATCTTTGCCAATTACACAAGTCTCCAACAACTTGATGATATCTCCGCAAAGCTTGACCGCATAATGGAGAACAAGCGAGACGAGATAATACTTGAAAAGCAAGACAATATAATAGATAAACTTACTGTCTTATAAAAAGCAAGGGAACCAGCTCCTACTCAGCCATCTTATAGCATCATTTTAAAATCCGGCATAAACGTCAATATCTCTACTAAAACTAAACAACCGCATGTTTTTTCTAACAACGTCCTCCTGGTGTATAGTAAGGACGAGAAAAGCAACAGCGATAATCTATGTAAGCTACTGCAGAAAGAGATCAAACCATCAGTACTAAAAATCGGAGTGAACAAGATCAGGAAAATCGCTGGCAGAGGTGTTGCCGTAGACCTGGAAAAGAAGGAAGACATAGCTAACCTGGAGAACTGTATCAAAGAAAAATTACCAGATGTTACCACCCGGCTTCCAAAGAAAAGGAAACCGCATGTGATACTGTACTCCGTATCCAATTTCGAAACACAAGATAGTCTAACACATTGCATATACAACCAGAACGACCTTATAAACGAAACATTCTCTGAGGAAGAATTCAACAACCAGTTTTGTGTCAAATTTGCCACAGGGAAGAAAGATGCCCAATACAAAAATCGTGTTATAGAAGTGTCACCAAAGCTTCGTAAGTGTCTACTCATGATAGGAAAGATTAACATTGAATGGTCCCGCTGCAGAGTGGGAGACTTTTGCCCAGTTCTGCAGTGCTTCCGCTGTTGTGGCTATGGACACTCTTCCAAAGAGTGTTCCCAAACGAAGAATACATGCAGTCACTGCAATCAGGAACACACATTTAAGGAGTGCCCTAATAAAAACCAGTAGCCAACATGCTGCAACTGCCACCATGATAAGTTAAAAAACACGGATCACAATGCAAGAGACAGCTCCTGCCCAGTATACCAGCGAACAAGATTGAACATTATCTCAAGGACTGACTATGGATCAGAGTAGCCATAAACATATTAGTTTCCTGCAGGTCAATTTGGGCAGAGGCATTGATGCCACTTCCCTTCTTGCTGCTAAAATCAATAACTATGACTTTATCTTCATACAAGAGCCATACTGCCAAAGGAACATTCCTGCCTGCCTTCCCACCTCCTCAACAATTGTCAAGGGTACTGAGGACTACCCTTGGGCTATCACTGTCATAAACAACAAAAACTTTCCGATTCTCCTTCATAAACAACACAGCAACGAGCACATCGTATGCATCGAAACCATCATCAATAATAACAGTCTTATCATTATCAATGTATACTGCCCTTACAATAACAATATTCATAGCTTTCTGGACCATCTTCAAGACACCATAAACAATCTTCAAAACAACAACCTTCTTCTCGTCGGAGACTTTAACTCACACTCCCCTGCCTGGGGGGTGATCACCAGGATAACAGAGGCGATGCCTTGGAAAACTTTCTAGCTACTAACAATCTGATTCTTGCCAACGACCCATTCTCCCCACCAACTTTCTCCAGCTCCAGAGGCCAAAGCTGGATAGATATCACCACTGCCTCTCTCGACCACTCTAATCTCATTACAAACTGGAAGGTCCTCCAGGATGTTTCGCTTAGTGAGCACGCTTACCTGCACTTTGAAATGACCACCTCAACCAACATCAGGGACATCGATCCTTCGCTGCGTTACAACCTGTCTTGTGCCGACTGGGAAGGCTTCACTCACTTCCTTCAAACCAAGTTAAACATCTATAACCCCATGGACTTGGAAGATGCCCACAATTTTATTAACAACTCCATCAATAACATAACTACTGCCTGCAATCTCTTTATCCCACGTACTTCCCTCCATTGTAAGACCGTTCCCTGATAGAATACGGATCTCACTGGCAAGCGAAACCACGTCAGGCACCTACGCAAGTCTTTTCAACGATGCAGGAGTGAGTCGCAGCGCAGTCAACTCAAAGAAAATTACATTGATTACCAAAAAACATACAAACAAGAAATTAAGAGAGCCAAACTCTCCTCTTGGAGGAACTACTGCACCAAGGCCTCCATCAATCCATGGGGCTATATCTCAAAGCTGTGCACAGGCAAATTGAAAAGAAGTCACCTCCTCGAAACCACTGCAAATGAAAATATACAAGACGCCCTCAAACACCAAATGGACACCTTTTGCCTTGACAATAACCCTGCTGACGACGAAATATGGCACCATTATATCAGGAACAAGAAATACCACAACATAAACAATCCAAACATCCCTCTTTTTTTCCACCATGAGGTTGACAAGATATTCAAAGAACTTCCTACAACCATAGCTCCTGGTATTGACGGCATTCCTGCGAAGCTTGCCAAAAGGATATGGGAACTGTGTCCTAACCATCTGCTGCACATTTACAACACCTGTTTGCAGCATGGCATTTTCCCGGAGGCCTGGAAGGTTGCTAAACTGGTTCCAATTCCTAAACCCGGCTCGTCCGCCTGCAGACCGATCTCACTCCTCCCCATCCTCGGTAAAGTCTTGGAAAAGCTAATCACCACCAGGCTAACATGGCATGTAGAGACCACACAACATCTTCAAGCTTCGCAATACGGCTTTAGACACCAGAAATCCTCCAGCAACGCAATTAACGCTGTTACCGACAACGTCCACCGCCTTCTTACTCAGTATAAATACGTCCTTGGCATAAGCCTCGATATCGAAAAGGCCTTTGACAGCGTTTGATGGCCTCTGATCCTCAAGAGACTCAGTGACACTGCCTGCCCCACCAACCTTTTTAATCTAATTCGTAACTACCTTAAAGACAGAAAAGCTGTCCTCCAAATTGGCAACCTATCACACTATAAGAATGTCGTCCGGGGATGCCCACAGGGTTCCGTCTGTGGCCCCCTCTTATGGAACATTGCATTCAACAATTTCCTTAATGCCATTTTCGGCCAGGACTCCTTAACTGCTTATGCAGATGACGTTATGGTTCTTGTTGGTGGTACGTCCCGGGCTGACCTGGAAAATAAAGCCAGTAACATTCTCCAGAACATACATCGCTGGGGTATCCTCCACAAACTGCATTTCAACCCCCAGAAGACCAGGGGAATCGTTTTCAACAGTCCTCGCAAACCCAACTTATATAAAAGAGTTCCTACCATTAATTAAAATGAATGGACATTCCATTAAAATACAGAAGACATTGAAGTACCTGGGCGTCGTTCTTGACTTCCACCTATCTTGTGAGCAGCACATAAAATACATCTGCGACCGTGTTGGCCTCATCTTCCACTCCTTTGCTAGAGTGGCCAAAAACAACTGGGGCCTTAACTCCAAAGCCATGAGTGTAATATATGACACTATCTTTGTTCCCATCGTGACCTATGGCTGTGGCACTTGGGGCAATGCCGTCTTGAAATCCCATCCACGTCGGAAGCTGATCTCTGCCCAGAGGACAGCATTACTACGCATCGCTAAAGCTTACCGTACTGCTCCCAACTCCAATCTACAAGTGATTTGTAAAAAGCTACCAATAGACCAAATAATAAAACTTTACAGCGAAGTCTGGAACATCAAATGGGGCAATAACATCACCACCAGCTCTACTACTATTCAGGCGGACATGCTCGAACGCCCGATCAACTACAGCAACTCATCTTATCCTAACGAACCTCCCAATTTCATTCACAACTTTCTCTCTCCTCCCTCCATTGACATCTACACTGACGGTTCAAAAATCGACAACCAGGTGGGCTGCAGTTTTGTTGTTTTCCAGAATGGAACGGAGATCTTTAACCAAAGGAACCGGTTACACGGCAGCTGCTCTGTTTTCCAATCTGAGCTGCTTGCCATCAAGACAGCCATCGATTGGTGCTCCGTGAACTTCCACAACACCAACATTGCACTACACTCTGACAGCAACTCCGCCATCTCCCTCATAAGTCACAGAAACCTTCACCCTATTGCATATGTCATCCACGAAGCTGTCAAAAACTGTAGCAACTCCTTCAGCATCAACTGGGTCCATGCCCACCAGGGCATCATCGGTAATGAACGTGCTGACGCCCTGGCTAAATCTGCTGCCACAGATCAAACTCTCCCTATTATCTACAATAAGCTCAGCCTGACCGCTATCAAAAAGCTCCTTTGGAACGATCTACTCATCACCTGGCAAAATAATTGGGACAACAACCAAAACATCACATACCAGTTCTTCCCGGACATCTCAGCAATCTTCAACTATAAATGGATCACCCCTAACTTCAAGCTGACCCAGTTTCTGACTAACCACGGTCGCTTCCACTCCTACATCAGTCGATTTGTAGATCCATATAACAGTGGCCTTTGCACAACATACAACACTCAGGATGGCAGCCTCCACTACATTCTCCATTGTGCAATGCTGGACTTTGAGAGGACACAACTACAACTGCTCATCAGCAGTCGGCATGGCCATTGACCACAAAATAACCATGAGTTCTTTAATGACTTGATCAACAACAAGGACACTTACAACCAATTTATAACCCTAATCGACCAGTATAACATCAAGACTAATGTTCCCACTGGCACATCAACTTTCACCTAGCTGCCTGCATCCAACTCTGCTGCTGTATATCAACATTTAAATACTGTATACTTCCTTTTATAATGTACTCTACATTTAACCTTTTCTTTGTTTTCTCAATGTTTATCCACATATTATGTTAACTTAATTCTATGCGTGTATATATTTTAAAATTTACTGTTTTACCCTTATACTCTGCTACTACTTTCATCTATACTTTATTCTGTACGTGTTCTTAATTATATACATATATTGATCACCTGTAATTTGTTTTGTAAAATATCTACCTCTTATTATGTATTGTATATTTAAACTGTGCTTGTCTTTCGTTGTATATTCACTTACAGCGCTATCAGCACAATATGTATGTATCTACTGTACATTATTGTAGGTCTTAGGATTTAATGTTACACTCTGCTACCATGTTATCTCTTATTTTATTTTGTAAGTGTATAATTATATACATATATTGCTCTCCTGTAACTTGTATTCATGTACCCTATCCCCAGCTTTGCCTAGCGGTGCTGGTTATGTACGCATATGTGCTTTAATAAAATAACTGAACTGTCACTACGCTTCGCCAATCGCGTTAATTCTTGACAGTTTAGACAAGAGCGTCATGGCAGTATGTGATAACTGATGATATCAAATGTGGATAACAATGAAATGACTTACACGTGTAAATAACAGAAGAAGAACAGAGAAGAACCTCAAAGTGAAAATGTGAAAATAAATATGAAATTGAGTTGATAACATAATCTAACAAGTCGAGGCAGCTTATTGGCCCGAAATTCGCGGCCGTCAATGCCAAACAATTGTTGTCATTGACTTCGGAAAGCTAAATTCTCGTAATGAAAGTCACTTAGCGTTCACGGGCGAGAAAGCCCTCTCGAATCCGTGAAATCATAACTGTGACTTATATCGACGTCCTGTCTGTATCTTTTCTCCGTTATCACCAGGCTGAGTCACGTAATTGTAAAATGGGAACTCTACGACGGAAAAGTGACGAATCGAAAGTATCGTGAGGGCGTATTATGACGTATGCATAGGCATACGTGGACTAGAGACATAGAGGAAAGAGAAAGGAAAGAGCAAAGACGAGCGCTTAAAAAGGATAGGCAGGGTCAGACCCTCAGATGTGCGACGATTCTCGAACGAATAAACGTGTATGCGTGCTGATCTTTGTAATTATAAATTGTGAATACAAGTGACTAATATTATGTTTTTTTTTTATTTTTTTATTTTGTGCATGTTATAAGTTATAAATATAAACAAACAACACCAACCCGATAACATTAAAACTAAATAC